GAATTATTGAAGGTCCTAAAGCGGCCTGGAATTTGTGTGCTTCGCGTATAAGGTTACCGAATTACCGTTTAAAATTGCATAGGATTTACTTGCGTTTTTTTTTTCGTTTTCGAATTGAGGTCACCTACCATTTGATTACCGTTTTTAATGTTACCGATAATTTGAATTTATTATTGACTTTCTGACATTTATTGCTATCTCGATAACCTTGTGTGGTGAAGATTTTATTTTTTCTTTCTTTTTCTCTCTTTCGTTTGGGATTTAGGTCGTATACCGTTCGATTGTTGTTCTTGACGTTGCCGAAAATTTAATTTTTTTTATCGTATTACCGTTATTTAGCATTAGCCCGATAGTCTTTTGTGGTGAGGATTATTTTGAAATTTAATTTTTTTTTTACGATCATACCGTTGGTGGTTCTTTGTTAGAAATCGAAGGGAACAAAGTAATAGTATTTTTGAAGGTAGCGTGACTGTTCCTTTGTCGACAACGAGAGAGACTTGTTTTCATTTTTGAATTTTTGAATTTTATTTTGTTTTTTTTGACCGTTATTATTATTTGTACCGCTGTATTATTATTTTTTTTATCTTTCCTTTTACCGTATTGTTCGACGATTTTGAATTTCTTTCCCTTATATGTTATTGTTTTGATTTTTGAACTTCTTTGTTGGACTTTTGAATTTTCTCTTCCGTACTGTTATTATTATTTTTCTTCTTCTGTTTCTTTACCGCACTGCTTTGATTTAAAAACTTTTTTTACAGTATTATTTCGATTTTCGAATTTCTTTTTGTTACCGTGCTGTTTTGATATTTGAATTTTTTTTCCCATTTGCTGTATTATTTTGATTTGCGAACTTCTTTCTTCTTGGCCATATTATTTTGATTTTCACCGCCGTATTGTTTGACTTTTTGAACTCTTTTACTTTTGATTTTTTTTGTTTACCTCTTTCTACCGCGTTATCTTGACTTTGGAAGTTCTTTTACTTTTACCGTATTATTCTTTATTTAAGATTTTTTTTGTGTCATTTCCCTTTTCTCTTTACCGTACCGTTTTGATTTTGAATCCGTCCTTTTGTCGTATTATTTCGATTTTTAAAAAATTTTTTTTATTTTTGACTTCCGTTAATTAGTAAGTCTCTCGTGTCTCTATGAGGAAGGATAGCGATCCACATCAGTGGATACAGGGGTTAAGCATCGGTCAGGCGCGTCGACATTTGTTGGATCGAGGGTTGAGTGCCCAGGGGATATTGCGGTTTTGCGGGCACGACTCCTCCGATACGAGACGCGAGGTAGCGGGGAAACCGAAGAGGGGGAAGAGACGATGTCCGTAGAGGAGCAAGATGGTGCGGGGGCGCGAGACCTCTTAGGGGAGGATGCCATGCCCGACCGACGGGGCACACCACCCTTGGGGGGCAGGAGGTAAAGCGGGACGACATAACGCGAGACAGCGGGTACCGTCCGCTCCAACGCGAGCCCGCGGCCGCGTCACACGCGAGTTCCCGTCCGGGGAGGGCCTCAACGGCGGAGGCTTATAATTTAATGAGAAAATGGAACCTCCATTTCTCAGGAAAACGGGGTAACGACGCGGAAGCCTTCCTGTTAAGAATTAAGGAGGCTCGCGCGATAGTCCCCATCTCAGACGCCGACCTTTTTAAATGCCTACCTCTCTTCTTATCGGAAATCGCGTTGTATTAGGTGCGATTGGAAAGCGGGAACTGGCGGGACTGGAACGATTTTGAGGCGGCATGGAGGGGCCGATTCGGGGATCCCGATTATCAATACGCTCTTCGCAATGAAATTTTCAGGCGGACACAGGGGGAGTATGAAACCGCGGCCGATTATTTGACCTGTTTGCGGGCTTTACTGAGTCGAATGACGGCCCTCTGGCCCTTGGAGGAACAATTAAATTTCGCACACCGGATCATGTTCCCGCGTATGCAGATAGCTATTCGACGTCAAGAGTTCAGGGACTTCGCGACTCTAGAGTACCTGGCTACGCGCATCGAAAGAAGCCTTCAAGCGGAGAAAAACTACCGACCCCCGCTATCGCCGGAGCAATCTATCTTTCCGGATTTGGCCTACCACGCGCCGAAGGGGAAGGCAAAGAACGCTGCTACCGTTGCTACCGCTAACGCTACCGCTAAAAAGAAAGAAAGAAAGAAATCCGCGAAAACCCTTAGCGCGAGTACCGCATCGACTGATACCGCTACCGCTGCCGCTGCCGTTGCCGCTACCGAACCCTCGACGAGTGCTACCGTTATCTCCAATCCCGCCAGCAATATAAAATGCTGGAACTGCGATAAGACAGGACACCGCGCGCGCGGATGTACCGAGCCGCGCCGGAAATATTGTTACCGCTGCGGGAGGCGCGATGCTACCGTACAAACCTGCCCAACATGCTCGGGAAACGAGAATCGGAGCCAGTAGAGAGGGTCCCTACGACTCCGAGTCCCGAAGGCGAGACCCTAGTTGCCGCCGACGATACCGTAGGGGACGATACGCTACTGCAGTCGTATGTCACCCTGGGGAGGGAGGAGCTACCGTCACTGAAATTCTTTAAAGTTAAAATATACGATTACACTCTCGCGGCCCTCGTGGACTCGGAGTCCAATCGAACCCTACTGGGCCGCGAAGGAATAAAGATTATCCGTGAATTGGGACTGGATACCGAGAGGGACAGGGGGATACAAATAAGAACAGCGAATGGACAAATCGCAAATATAAGGGAAGAGATTAAGGTACCGTTAGAACTGGAGGACCAGTGTCGCGAAGTTACCGTTGCGTTGTTACCGAATTTAACAGTTCCGTGTATTCTGGGATTAGACTTTCTTACGAAATTCGGAGTAACATTAGACTTTGCCATTAACGGATGGTATTTTGCCGAATCACCACACAAGAAATATCGCTTAGTTACCGAAACGGATCCAACGGGGAGTTCTTGTTGCGGGATATCGGAATTGACTTCCGCACAAGAAAAAACGTTGAAATTTTTTTTACAGACGTTACCGCAAACGTCCGATAACCCCGGTGTGACAACGCTTATCGAACATAAGATAGATGTAGGTGATAGTCCGCCAATTAAACAGCGTTGTTACCTTGTATCGCCTAAGGTTCAGGAAGCCATACGTGCGGAGACTGATAAAATGTTCCAGGCAGGGATTATCGAACCGTCTTATAGCGAATGGTCGAACCTCATCGTAATGGTGAAAAAACCTAACGGAAAGTACCGCTTTTGCTTAGACTTCCGGAAAGTAAATGACGTATCTAAGAAAGACGCATATCCGTTACCGAATATGAATGGGATTCTCGACAAATTACGTTCGGCTCGCTACATATCAACCATTGATCTGAGTCAAGCCTACTTCCAGATACCGTTAGCTAAAGAAAGTCGGAAGATTACCGCATTTAGCGTTCTAGGGAAGGGACTTTTCCATTTTACGCGAATGCCCTACGGGCTTACGGGAGCACCGGCAACCTTTCAGCGATTATTAGATCGATTGATAGGACCGGAAATGGAGCCCCACGCGTTCGCATATTTGGATAATATCGTCATAGTCAACACCGACGTTTGAAGAGCATATGACGTGGCTTAGAAAAGTGTTAGATAAAATCACCGCCGTCGGCCTTACCGTTAATCCGGATAAATGTGAATTTTGCCGTTCTCAGGTACCTGGGTATTTATCGTGCAGAGGGAGGGGCTGACGGTGGACCCGGAAAAGACGCGACCGATTTTAGAATACCCCGCACCGCGAAATATTAAACAATTACGCCAGTTTTTGGGAATGTCGTCATGGTACCGTAGATTCATTCCCCAATTCGCGACCCTTAGCGAACCATTGACGCGCCTTTTGAAAAAGGGCAGGCGCTGGGAGTGGGGGGATGATCAGGGTCGCGCCTTCGATCAAATCAGGGACCATTTAGTTACCGCACCGACACTAGCCTGTCCAGATTTTGAGTTACCGTTTATCTTACATACCGATGCGAGTTCCGTGGGATTAGGCGGCGTATTGACTCAGATCATCGAGGACGAAGAGAGGGTGATAGCTTTTGCGAGTCGACCTTTATCAGATCCCGAAACCCGTTATTCCGTTACCGAACAAGAGTGTTTAGCAAGGTGGGCGCTCGAATTATTAGAATATGATTACGAGGTGATTCACCGGAAGGTGCCCTACACCATGTGCCCGACGCACTCTCCCGAATGTTTGAAACGGAGGTTACCGAGGATACCGTACCGGCCGCGACAAATTCCGTTCACATGACTGCCGCTATAGATACCGTAGACCTGGTGAACACTATCGACGAATGGTACCGTAAAAGATATAAAGAAGTTTTGGCGAACCCCGGAAAATACACGCAATGGAAAGTGATTGAGGGGCGATTATACTTCCTCAGGCCGAAGCGCGTAGTTTCCGAAATCGTGGAAGACTTAGACCGATGGAAGTTAGTGATACCGAAAGAATACCGAAGGGAAGTATTAAAAGAGTCGCACGATATGCCACAGGCAGGTCACTTGGGTACCGAAAAAACTTACCAGCGTATTGCCGTTTCATATTTCTGGCCGAATTTATTTCGCGAAGTTACCGAATACATCCGACAATGTGATACCTGCCAGCGAACGAAAGTAGAACAGGCAAGCCCCGCGGGTCTTATGGGACGTCGTATCGCAGATGGGCCATGGACGGCAATAGCGGCCGACATTATAGGCCCGTTACCGAAAAGTAAGGCTGGGTTCCAGTACCTCCTGGTAATACAGGATCTGTTTACCAAATGGGTGGAGTGTAAACCACTAAGGGCCGCGACAGGTCCGAAAATTAGTGAGGCCATAGAAGACCTAGTGATATCGCGATGGGGAGCTCCTAAATTTCTGTTAACGGATAACGGTACCGAGTTTATTAACAAGGTTATGAAGGCGTTCGCTGACGATCGACAGATTACACACACTACCGTACCCCCATACCACCCCCGGCCAATCCAGTAGAACGCGTAAATTGCATCTTAAAAACGATGATTATCGCGTTCATCGAAAAGGAGCACAGGGAGTGGGATGAACACATCGCGGATTTCCGGTTCGCGTACAATACCGCCTGTCATTCCTCTTTGGGAGCATCTCCCGCTTTCCTGAACCTTGGGCGTGAGTTAGAGCCAGTACATTCGATGAAACGCAATCAGGGGGTTACCGAGATTGAACCGGGGGATACCGCAAAATGGGCAACCCGAATGAAGGACATGCAAGCCTTAAGGGAATGGGTTGTCGAGAACTTAGATAGAGCCTACGAGAGACAGGCTTCCCGGTATAACTTGCGTAGACGTAATCGCACGTTCAAGGTAGGAGATTTGCTAAAACGCCAACACGTTTTGTCATCGGCGGCCCAAAATATAGCCGCCAAACTAGCACACAAATTCCAGGGCCCGTTTAAAGTGGTGCGAGTGATCTCTCCGGTGATTTACGAGTTGGGCACACTGGAGGGATCGCTCAGTGGTAAGACCCATATACAAGATTTGAAACCTTACCACACTCCTGATACCGTTTAGATGCCGAGAAACATCATGGACCGCAAAGAGATGCGGAAGATCTGGCGGGCGTTTTGGGCACGGCACCGGTCCGTCTGGGAGCACATAGAATTCCATGACGAGGGCTTCTGGACGGACCTGGAAGACGTGGCCCGCCAGGTCAAAGAGGCCCGCTGGACTACACGCGGGGCCGTGGTTAGGGAGTGGCCGTCCGCGCAGAACACGGCGGTGCAGACCACGTCCGACGTGGGAACAGCGCGGGGGACCCAGACGGAGGCCCCCGAGCTAGCCGTGGAGTCCACGCCACGGGAACGCGCTCGGTCATTTGGCCGCCCCATAGAGCCGGGGCAAGGTCCGCGCCGCACCACGTCCGCTGAAAGGCGGCCAATGCCAGAGCACCCGACGCGGGAAGCACCCTACGCGGTCGGGTGCTGGAATTGTGGTTCCTCGCAGCACTCATACGCACGTTGCCCCCTATCCCGCACCGGTAGCTTCTGCTACGGGTGTGGACAACGGGGGGTAACGTTGCGGGACTGCGAGAGCTGCGGGACCGCCTAACGCCGGGCAGCGCCATACACCGGGGGCCGCGAGCCCCCCAACCTCCGCCACCACCGCGGGACCGTTCGTCTCTCAGGGATGCGTGGCCCTGGGCGAAGGACGTGAGCGGTAGTGGACAGCGCCTGACCCGCATTAGAAACTTTGGTGTTTTTTTTTGCTCTTCCTTTTTTTTTTGTTTTTTTGGTTACAGTGTTTTTCTTTTAGTCAGTTTATTCTTTTCCGCTTCTTATTATTGTTTGGGTTCAATTATATTTTTCTTTTCTTCTCTCTGGCGTTACGTAGTTTTAAATAATCCTTAAGGTTCATTTTCTTTAGTTTTCTGTCATTTTTAAGTTTAGTTTAATTCTAGGATTAGTTTTCTTTTTTTCTGATTTTGTTTTTCTTTTGTTCTTCTGAAATTTTTTTTTTGTGTTACCTATATATTTATTTTCTTTTGATACCGTTTTGTATAAAACTTTTTTTGTCTCTCTTTTCGTTTTTTTTTCTTTTTCCTTTTTGGTTTCGTTTTTTTTTTCTTTTATTTTTGATCTAAAGTCGACCCAGCAAGGGGTCGGAATAAATTAATTTACTACTGGGCTCCGCGTTCGATCGAGTCCCCCTATCGCTTCCTAATCCCTCATCTCCTTACGGTTAGTAAAAGCGGAGATATCGGGTGTGAGAAAATATCGCGAGGGTTGGAGTCGAGATCAGACCTTACGGAACGTGGAAACGTGCTACGGACTTTCGAACTGCGGACACCTGGAAGAAGCCTGGAGAAAAAAAATAGCCGCCTTATCGCAAGAATGAATGGGAAACTGCCTGAGCGACGGTCATCGGTGTGCGGGTTCCGAAGTCCCTTCGGCACCCGTCTGGGAAGGGGGAGTTGTGACGTGACGCTTTTTGAGCTCCGTCACCATTGCCCTGTCGAGGGGGAACAGCGTGCGCGGGGTCGTTCCTCGCGCCTGAGAGGGAACTTAAAATAACTATAATCTGATTGTTTAGATTTATTTTAGCTTTAATATAAGATCCGCGAATAAAGCTGCGGCTACTGTGCGAGCGTGCGTTATCTCCTTTGTACATGAAGATACCGCAAGTAAACAAAAAGTCATGTAATGAGATCCCGCGCCGTAGCTATTCTTAATTCTGCAAAATATTAAAACCGAATAATTTCAGAACAAAAGACGGCAGAACATCCGGACGACGGAGCTGAAGACAACCTCCCAGGCGGCCGACTGGGAAAGGAAGAGGATTCTGGAAAAGACGAGGATACGGCCTGGCCAACCGGTCCCGTCCTCAAGAAGCCGAAATACCGTCAGACACTGTCGCCCGTAGATTCTGGGCCCTTGCGTAAGGGCAACGCCGTCTAACAGCTGTGACTCGGAAGGGGGCGGAGAATCAACCCCCGTTCATCCGAAAATTGATGGAATGCGCGGAAGATCGGCGCGGGATCCGAGGACCTCACGGAAGCACTTGAAATTCATCACTGTTCGGTGAGCTCGTGCCGCGCATACACGTGCTATTGAAGAACCTCAAGGAAGCGACCCCGGAGGAAGCCGTAGCCAGCGATCAGTGTAAGCCGCCGCACAGGTAGCCTAGTTATTGTTCATCCGGGATCAGTTGGCGTCGTTTAGAGATACCGTCGCAGGGCGACGAATATTTCGTAAAGATATCGCGTAAAGTAATTGTACTTGTACCGTAATTGCCGGACGCCAGCGGTCCCCGGGTGTCGCGGATTTGTTCCTCTCAGGGGGTTCGTGCCGACAGTCTCGTGCCGTACCGTAGAATTTTATATCGTTAATTATCGTTAAATGATGTTTCGTGTCATATTAAGCGTGTATGTTACCATTACGTATGTTATGTTACCGTTACGTATGTATGTTACCGTTACGTATGTTATGTTACGTGCCGAAATCTAAGTCCTAGCGTGACGTGGCAATTTTGGTCGTTTCGTATCGCATATCGAAAGGCGGGATTTGCGCGAAAAATTTCTTCGCGAGCGTGGGTTACCGTAAATGACCAATTTGCTCTACAAGAATATTTGTAACGCGAAATCTCCGCTGAATCATCTTTCCGTTATCGATTATTCGAAAATTCTATTGTTCGACTTAAAGTCTTTGTTGCCGAGTATACAAGGTCGCGATAAAACCGTTAAATAAAGCCAACAATTCCGCATAAACATCATTACCGCTACCGTTTTCTGAAGCCTTTGTTTTCCTACCAAAAATATACCGTGAAATATTATCGCCGATTACCGTACCGAAAAATCGATTCGAGATATATCGAAATTTTTGGAGAGACGTGTGCCGTTAAAACGATACTAACAGGATACTCGATTATTATATTCTATTCATTATCCGTTACTTTTGAATAGTTGTATCGCAAATTACCGTCAAATAGTATATTTAGTTTCGTTCGATTAATATCGAGATTCGCGAGAGGCTCGTGCCTCGGCCTGTGTTCCGAAGTCGTACGTGTTGGTTGTACGCCGACCGCGAGTCTTATCCTGTAGTCGATTACCGCTAATTACCATGAATTATTATAAGAAATACCGTTCAATTTATATCGAAATCTTGCGGCGGGTCTCACGACTCCGGCCGTGTTCGGAAAATTGACTGAGTATTGTATCTCGCGTATTAAAGATTACCCCGCTGTAAATTATTATTTGAGCTTCCGTATCGCGATTTGTGAGATATTATACATTACTTTATTACCGCTTTCATCGTTGTATTATAGTCACACATTTTGAATAGATCGTTTCCGTTATCACGATCCCTGACCTTCGCGTCAGTCGTTACAAGTCAAATCCTTTGTCTTTCAAACTCGGATCTTCGATTGTTTATATTCCGAGATTTATCTGTTCGTTCTTAGTTTGTTTTTTTTGATACCGAAGATTATAAATTATATTGATTTTGTCTCTGTTATACCGTTGATTATCGGTACCATTATTGTTTAATATAGTTATATAATTATAAGTAAAATAACTGACTGTCGATTATTTCTCTCTCCTAAATACTGTCTAACGCTCTCTCTCGACATCTAATCCACAAAGAACCCTGCCCCTCTGCCAAATACTAAGCCCGGGATTACCGCATCTTGCCGTTACCGTATCGTTATCGTGGCGCGGAAATACCGCGCCTGGCGCCCAATTACATAAGTTACCGTATTATAAGTTACCGCATTTTCAGTTACCGCACGATACCGTTTTTTCGATACCCTATTGAATTTTTTATAACCTAATTTTTATACCGGCCAAGACCTTGCACGCTACCTCCTCGAGATCGGCGTTCTCGAGGCGGGCAACGGCGTCGCAACATATAAAATGGTTAATTAATATTCATATCATATCATATATACTATTTTTTATATATATTTGCATTATATATTTTGTATTATATTTTTCACAATTTTTTTATATACATATATTCAAGTTTCATTGAATTTAATTTATATTACATATTATAATGTGTTAGAAAGAGAACCAAAGGAGAGAATGAGAGGAAAGTACAGATGGCAGTACTGGTATACTCGCTGACTTCACGCATGCGCATTTCATTTTATGCTACACAAAATCGGGAGAGTTGCGCTACTGTATATACCGTGGTTTAACGTTGGTCAATTTGCAGTTATCGAACAATGTAACATCTGGCGACACCGAATTCTTTTTACCAGTTTGCAGTGCAAAGATCACGTATCGCGGTTTCTCTAGCTGGGAGGCGGCTTTCACGGTCCACGAATGTTTGGTCGTGCTATGTAACAGAGGAAATTCGTATAGATCCCAAGATCGGAAACTCATGTTCAAATATCGTCCGCTTTCCAACATTCGCAACATTGATAATTTATTAATCTCGTTCAATATTACATGAAGCATACGCCACTGTATCTTGAGTAATTCAATCTCAGCTTCCGACGACGGATGTCCGAATAGACAATTATTATCGTTGCGCGAACGTATCAAAATCAATTCGTGACGAGCGTTAATCACAACGCGTTTATAATCTTCGCAAAATCCCAGCAACATGTTGAGCGGTACGCAAAAGTTGAAATAATTTTTGTCACCGTTGTACGTCAAATCCCACGCAGCGTTCTTCAAGTTTATACTTTTCTGGTGCGTTAGAGAGACATAATTTTTGAGCGTCGATGTTATTCCAACATTTCTGTTGCGATCAATCTCTACTCCGTCGAGTTCGTATCGAAGCTCATCAAACATGAATGCGACGCAATTGTTTCCCAATACAACCTTCATTTCATCATTCGCTTTACGCACATTAAATCTTCCCTCGATGTAAAGAAAGCTTTCGCACGGTAACGTGTATAAATCCTGATGTTGTATAGGTATTCGTATCTCGTCGCTGTATCCAAGCGTCGAATTGGCGTACGGATTGTACGTATGAGTCTCAATCTTGACGATGCGATCGTCAAAGACTGGCTCACCTCCGATATTCAAAACATCAATCATTTTTTTCGTACGATGAATCCCAATGATT